TACATACAATGGAATCTTATTTGTCCTTAAAATGGAGTGAACCCCTGAAACACAGTATTGCACGGGGGGAAATGTGAAAACATTATGCTAAGTTAAATAAGCCAGGCCTTAAGGGACCAACATTGTGTGATTTCCCTTACGTGCGATACTTAAAGAAGTCAGCTCATAAAGACAGAAAATAGAATGGTGGTTACCAGGGGGTCGGGAGAAGGGGACTGGGAGGTGTTTAATGGACAGAGTTTCTGTTTAGGAAGATTGACAATTTGGAGATGAATGGCGGTGAGGGTTGCACAACACTGTGAATATACTTGATGCCACTTTATAAATATGTTAAAATAGTAGATTTTAAGGTATGTATTTTTTAACCACACATGCACACAAAAGACATGTAGGAATCTGTATGATCAGTCCAGATGGTCAAGTTGAAGGAGTGCTGACATGGATGAAACGTAATGGAGTCTGACCTAAATAAGGACCATAAATTATCTGGAGGGTTTTAGGCTGGGACTCCTTCCCCGATGTGATAGGTCTGGACTGGGACTCAAGACTTTGCATTTCCAACAAATTCCCAGGGGTATTTGTTATCTAGTGCTGCATAACAAATTACCCCATAATTTAGTGGCTTAAGAGAACATACTTTTTTTATCTCAAAATTTCTGTGGTCCAGGAGTCTAGTGGTCCTGGCTCAGGATCTGTCATGAGGTAACAGTCAAACTGCTGATGGCAGCTGATGTCATGTGAAGACTTGGAGAGTGGACCCAGTTTTAAGATGGCTCATTCCCACTGCTGTTAGCAAGAGGCTTTAGTTCCCTACTAGGCAGATCTCTCTCTATGTCTGTCTCACCACACAGCATCTGAATTTCCCAGAGTGGATGTTTCAAGAGAGTGAGCGCAAGCAAGAAACCAGCTTTTGTGACTAGTATCCAAATTCTATTCTTCAGAGATAGGTCAGTAAATCCAGCTTGTATTCAAAAGGAGGGGCTCTACCTTTCAAAAGGAAGAGTACTGAAAAACCAGTTTTGAAAACCAATATGCTGGGTGTCTTTCTGAGTCTGCTACAAGAAAGTTCCGTGAACTGGGTGACTTAAACTACAGAAATTTGTTGTCTCACAATTCTGGAGGCTGAGAGTCCAAGATCAAGATATCAGTAGGGCTGGTTTCTTCTGAGGCTTATGGGGGAAATTTTGTTTCAGATCTCTGTTCTTGCTTCTGGTAACCTCACACTTCCCATGGCTTACAGATGGTCATCTTCTCCCTGTGTCTTTACATTGTTTTGCCTCTATACATGTCTACCTCTAAATCAAAATTTCCTTTCTTTTATAGTACTATTGTCATATTGGATGGAGACCCACTGTAATGACCTCGTTTTTTACCTGATTACCTCTATAATAACGCCTATTTCCAAAATAGTTCATGTTATGGAGTCCCGGGTGTCAGGACTTCAACATCTTTTGAATTGGATACAATTTAACACGCAATACAATCAAGGTAAGGCTAAGGACTCTCTTTTGGGGACCATATTTTTGAGAATCACTGGTCTAACCCACTGGTTACACTAATGTAACTAATGTTACATGTAACCTACACTAATGTAGGTTTTTCATAAGCTAAATGAACCACCAAGTGTCAAAGAGCAGGTTTGTGGCAGGGTTCAGATGACAACTCACATTTCTGGATCCACACTCAATGCACTTTCCGTGAACCACAGTGTTTGGTCATCCTTGGCCCAAAGTTCTCTGAAGATCTCAGTTATCTGTGGAGTCATGAAGCCTTTGTGTTTTTTTGGGTTCTAGGTTTTTCACATTGACTCACAAAGCTCTGAGGTTCCAGGAATCCTTTAAAGGTGTGTGTGTGTGTGTGTGTGTGTGTGTGTGTGTGTGTGTGTGAATTTTCTGGAAACTACATCATTCATCATTTAAGCTATCTACACTGGGAAGGAGAAGAGAGGGGGTAGGAGATGAAGAGGAGATAATGAAGGAGAGAGGAGTAAGGAAAAGAGATAGAATATAGGAAAAAGCAATAGTGTACCAATTTAGACTCCTGCTATAGCATGCTACATCATCTAGTTTGAATCGGGTTGGGAAGTGAGATAAAATCAACTCTTCCTGTTACATGTATCTATATTTTTAGAAATTCAAGAAGAAAATGAACACCTGTATATCTGCCAGTCATCTAAAGACAAAGAACACTGGCAGACGCGCCGATGCCTCTGGGTGCACAGATCATCGCACCCTCTCCCTTCTTCCTGGGTTGTTTACTAGGCCAAAGTTTGTGTTGATCACTTTCTTGGTTTTCGTTATGGTTTTACTACATAGAGATAGACCCTTAAGCAATATCTTGCCTAGTTTTATCTGTTTTTGAACTTTACATAAATGGAATCAGTCTAGGTGAGTGTACGTGACTTTCCGTATTTTCCTCTGCCTGGTGAAACCCATCCGTATGGCGTGGTTTTGGTTAATTCATTGTCATTGGTGTCCATCCATCCTCTGATCAATAGATAGGTTACTTTTGTTGTTACAAAAAAATAATGTTATGAACATTGTTCTGTTAGCGTATCAATGTGTGTTCACTCCTTGGTGAGTTTGAGACACAGAGGTGATACCAGGGGTATCTTCACAAGGTCATCTTTATTTGCTGCAAATAAGGAGATCAGGGGGAATAATTTCCAAAGCCTGGAAACAAGGTAAGCAGGTTCCTTTTACTGCGGTTTCGGATGAATATTCAGAGGAGCAGGTCTCATCATTGAATGTAATGGGGAGGCATCAAGTTACACATTCCCGTTCAGAAAACATGCCTATACATATATTGCATGCTATCTAGTGAGGCTTATGTTTCCCTCTGGGTGGGGGATTTTAACATTATAATGAAGCTCAGGTAACTGTCAGATACTTTATGATTCATGATTCATCTGCATGGGCATCTGTCCCGGGGGATCATATTTCAAAGGTTTCTTTTCTTGCTCCAGCAATTGGTTAGTTTCTAAAAGATAAAATCTGTAGTTAGGCAGAAGCTTTTAGGGGTTTCCTGAGTTCAGGGGTCTCACTGATGACACTTATACATGTCTCCTGATACACGGTGTAAGAATTTCTGCAGCGTATATGCCTTAGAACGTAATTGATGGAGTGTAGGGTATACTCCCCTTAACATCACTGATTGGTTGGTAGATTTTTAGAAGGGCTGTACTAGTACACATCCACCAGAAGCATCTAAGTTATTGCTAGCTCACAGCTCAGCAGCATTTATTAGTTCAGTATTTTGACTCTCCTGACGTTTACCCTACAAGCTGACTTTAGAACCAAACCCTCGCATTAGATGTGACACCACCATATTGGACTTTGGGGACTTTGTGCCTAGGATGCTTGATGCCTCTGACATAATAGGTGCTCAGTAAATGAGAGAACAATTACATGAATCTTATGCTTTAGCTGTTTGGTAAAACTACAATTTTTTTTCATTTTAAGTGTTTATCAGCACATTCCTGATTCCAGTCATTCCTTCTGACTCCAAACTATGTACCTAATGTCAACTGTTAGTGGTATATTTGTTCCAAACTCAAAGGCTACACAGGAAATTTAAAGCAGCAGTTCAAGTGTTGCCCCTAGAGGTGGGAAATGTACTACATTCACTTTACTGTAATCTAGTGAAAGACTGTAATGTGAATTTAGAGAAAAAAAAATAGAAGAAAAAAACCTCCACAATTCCTAGCCTTAATTTCAGAATCTATAGCGTTCTTCTATGTTTCAACACGTTTTTTAAAAAATAGTAAAAATTCTACATTCACATACTTATTTGAATGTTTTCTACTTAATTAAATTTCCACAGTTAAGTTAAAAACATTTTTTTTGTGACAACATATAGAAATTGCTGTTTAAAGGCATCTATTTTAATGAGCTATAAAGTTTTGGCTCAAAATGATAGTTTGTGGACCTCTGCCAATTTCTGATGAAATTAACCTAAAAGGTAATAACAGAAAAACAACAGAGTGGGCTTTTCAATACAATGAAATGAATTTCATTCAAAGGACCCCTCCATTTCCCCCCTGAGATCATGCCATTTCTACCTTTTTAATGACAAAATGTATTTTAAGAAATGATGGTGGATTTATTTGCTTGACAATTTTGTCCGACCTCAGATTTTGTGTGTGTGTTTGTGTTATAATTTTACTAATCCTTCAAGTCTAAATGTTTAGAAATCCTTTCAGAACAGCTTTCATCATTTAAAATGTGTTCTGTAGGAAGAAACCTGGGAGTTACTCTCAAGGGCACACGAGTCTCAGAAAGCAAGCTATACTCATTTCTATTCGATGACTGTGAATTTAATTCTGATTGGGTTTCAAGTAAGGCTTAGGACTAATACTATGGTGAATGGTGTGCAAAGATGGGGAAGACTGTTTCATCCTTACCTGTTAGTGGTTTAGTCTGCACGTTATACAGTAAACAATAGACGTGTGAGTGTCCTGGAACGTAGAGTGGTTTGGCAATTGCTGGAGCAGGGTGGAGACCCTGGAATCTAAAAAATGTGGAAAGGGAGACAGGAGGGGAAACCCATACTAGAAAGACAGATAGGAGCCAAGGTCTGGGGTCCATTCTTGCGTGAGCAAGGAGAGCCGCGTCCGGGTTGCAGCGTGGTGAAGACAGACTGCAGAGGGAGGTGCGGACGGGTTGCGCAAGTTCTGCCGTTCGGGAAGAACCGGCTAGAGGTGCAGCACCGGGCAAGGGAAGCAAGGGTTGGTTAAAGAGCCACGTGAAAGTCGTACCAAGACTTGGACAACAACAGAATCCAACAGCTGCAGCAGGCGAGAGGCCAAGTGTTACCCCTCACACTACTCCTTCAGCTTGGGGCTACTACGAACCAGGGGGTGGAGTCGGACACGCCCCGCGGGGGTCACACACCCAATCAGCGACAAGCCGCCCCGCCCCGCGGAGCACGCCCCCTGCCCCTTCCCGACAACCTCGGGACGCCGTCTCTCACCTGCGCCTGCGCAGTCGCCAGGCCCCGCCTCCTCACCCTCCCGCCTGGGTCTCCTGCTGCCAGTATGGCGGCTCCCTGTGTCTCCTGCGGCGCAGCGGTTTTCTACCGGATCTTTCTCGGAGGTAGGGTTAGCCTTGCCCGCAGACAAGGCGTCTGGAAGGCCGCGGCTGCAGAGTTGCAGATAGGTGCCGGGTCCCAGGTAAGGGAGAAGTGGAAGTACGGGTCCGTGTAGCGCGGGGATGTGGAGCCGGCGCCGCTCCCTTCGCCTGCTATCTCGCGTGCCCTCTCACGGGGACCCTAGGGTCCTGGGTATTTAGTAGAGTTCTGTGGTTGAGAGGAATGAGTATTGGCTTGCGGCGACCATTTGGGGTTGTTTCTGGTTTTCGCAGGGTGCAGTGAGGGAGGAAGTCATCTGCAGACGGAACTAGAGCGACCCCCTTCCTTGAGTTGGCTGCCAGGTTAAAGAGAGTCTCTGCCTAAGTGGGGCGTAGGGTCTGGGCCTTGCCGCCTTCCCCGCGGTCCAATGGGGAGGAGGGCCGCGCCAGAGGACGTGAATGAGAACTGGACTCCGGCAGTGGTCTGGAAGACTTCATGGAGAAAGTCACGCAGTGGATAGGACTGATAGTGACTTTTGTGCAGTTTCTATTTTCTTAATAATTTTCCCGCTGGAGAGGTGGAGACCAGAACTTGAACAATTCCTTTCATCCTGAGGGCAGTGAAAAGACAAGATTCTAGCTTCGCAGCTGGTTGAGTGATGATGCCATTAACTGACATGGGATCTCAAAAGGAGGGAAAGTTTGAGAGGCTAGAAAACGAGTTGGATATAATTGTATTTATTATAAAGTTATAATTGAGATGTCCAAGTAGAGATTTCCAATAGGCTCAAAGATTGGGGAGTTTATAGGTCAAGAAGAGAACTGATTTACAATCCTCAATTACCTTGTAGATGGTAATTGAGGCCTTGGAAGTGAATTCAGACCCCTAGTGAAGGGGTACTGAATTGGAATAAGGAGAGGGACAAGACCCTGAAGGACAACAGTCAAGGAAGAAGAGCCTCCCAGAGTTTGAGAATGAACTGCCAAAGAAGTAAGGAGAAAACCAGATGGTGTGGTGTCATGGAAAACAGGTGGATGTTTTAAGTAGGGAAAGTGATAAAGAAGTACCAAATATCGTAAAGAAGTTAAATAGTATGATAAAAAAAAATTATCAAAAGGGGCATCTGGGTTGCTCAGTTGGTTGAGCCTCCGACTTCAGCTCAGGTCATGATCTCACAGTTCTCCAGTACGAGCCCCACATTGGGCTTGCTTCTGTCAGCGCAGAGCCTGCCTTGGATCCTCTGTCCCTCTCTCTCTCTGCCCCTGCCCTGCTTGAGCACTCTCTCTTGCTCTCAAAAATAAATAAACGTTAGAAAAAAAAAAAAACTATTGAAGAAACATTTTTTAATCATCTTTCTTTTATATTTTAACCTAAATCAACCAGTCCATCTCTTCATTTGTCCATCATTTGTTTTTAATTCTTTTTTATTGGAAAACGTGTTGGGAGTTTTTATTTTTTTGCAGATCTTTTTTAAATATATTTTTTCCTGTGTATGCATAGTAATCTAGAAAAGGGACTGTTGCATATGTAATGTTTTTATTGCTGACACTTAATGTGTGTGTCTGGGGAAGGATGCTGACTTTCTCTACCTCCGTGAAACTCTGGAATCTGTATCCTCTTATGCCTTTCTCTATGTTCCTTTTATTGTATTAAAAAAAATATATTCCATTCTACATTTTGCTTCTCCAACTTACACATATAGTAGAAATTCCTTCAAGTCACCCATTATGTATCTAACTGCATTATGTATCTAACTGCTACATAATATTTGGTGCTATGAATGTGTCAGAGTTAATATTTGATGGCCATTTATTTTGTTTGCATTTCCTTCCCACTAGTAAAGTGTTCAGTAAACCTTCTGGCATAATTCTTAGTACTGTTGCTTTTATTTGTGCAGTAGAGAGTTCCAGTTGTGAGATTCTTGCTACAAAGTATGTGTACATCTTAAATTTTTTTTTAAATTTTATAATTTATTTCTGAGAGAGAGGGAGACAGTGTGAGCAGGGGAGGGTCAGAGAGAGAGGGAGACACAGAATCTGAAGTAGGCTCCAGGCTCTGAGCTAGCTGTCAGCACAGAGCCTGACGCGGGGCTCAAACCCACGAATCATGAGACCATGACCTGAGCCGAAGTCAGACGCTTAACCGACTGAGCTACCCAGGTGCCCCTGTACATCTTAAATTTTAATAGGTATTTCCACATAGCTTTCCAGGAAGGCCATAGCAATCCACACTCCATCATTCATATATGAGAGTACCCGTCTTCTATTAGCATTAGGTATTTTTTCCATTAAGATGAGTGAAAATTTCAATTTTCATTTCCCTGACCACTCTTGAATTGAAGGTTTTTCCCCCCATATGGCAAATGTTTACTGAGTACTTTTCTTGAACCAGGCACTGTGAAGTAAACAAATCATTATCGAATAATTACCCAGACAGTACTGACCATTAGCACTCTCCAGGGATGGGCCTTAGACCACCAAACCCCCAAATTCGTGACCAGGATCACAGCTCATGTTTGATCACATGAAGTAGGACTCAGACATAACTGAAAGACCTAACTGACCCCAATCAGACCCTTACTGTTATCATATATATGGCTAAAGATGTTTATAAAGCTTTTTCCTGGCATGGAACTTGTCTGTCTTAATTAAATATTAATGTTTCTTCACTTCCATCTGCAACATTAATAATTGTATTTTTCCTAAGGATCATGTTTCTTAAAACAATAGAATAATAATAAATACATCTTGTACAGGGTATTTTTGCATTTTGTTTATGTGTAGAAGTGTGACCTAGGTGGTGATAGAAATAGCTATTATAGTGAGTCACAGTCAAGAAAGTTTGAGGAAGACTGAGGCCACAAGGAAAAAGAAACAAGTTTTGTTAAACTAGGATTCCTGGGTCCTCAGTTGGGACCCTCACCAGCAGATGCCCTCTTGCCTACCAGTCTTGTGGTATACACATTTCATATCAGTTTCTCTACAACTGCAAATTTGGGGTGGAAGAAGGAATCTTACGTGTGAATGGCAAAACTTGAGATTATAAACCCCTGAATATCAGGGACCTATATACAGTGTACTGAGATTTGCAGAGGTAAATACAGAAGAGCACAGATGTGCAGTGCCTAATGCAAATAGGTTGTAACAGGTAGGGTGGTGTGGTGGGCAACTTCTCAAAGGAGATGATAGAGTTTTCAGGAGCATTTGGGAGTTCCATTAAACAAGAGGGGTATTCTGTTCTGGGAAGATGAGATAGGTTACAGAAAGCACTAGATAATGTACAGAGTACATGCATTCTGCCAACAGCAAACAATTGGTTATAGCAGTTATAATTGGCATAATTGGAAGAATGGTGAGAGACAGGATGGTTTAGCAGGCCCCAGATTATGGTCTGTTTTGCTTTCACTAATGAGAGTAGCACTGGCATTATTATAAGCAGTTGTCAGTCATGGTGTGCTGCAAAGGTTACCCATGAATTCTTAAATTCTCGTTCAGTATAAGAATACTGATTGAGTCTTCTGAAATATTTATGGCTTTTATAATAAGTAAAGCAGTAGACCAATTTCTATTTTTTATTTTATTTCACTTATTATTATTATTATTATTATTTTTTTTTTTGAGAGAGAGCACAAGAGCATACACAAGCCAGGGAGGGGCAGAAAGAGAGAGAGAACCCAAGCAGGCTCCATGGCCAATGGGGAGCCCCTAACCCAGGGCTCAGTCTCAGGACTGTGAGGTCATGATCTGAGCCACAATCAGTAATTGGATGCTTAACCAATTGAGCATTTTGCATTTCTTTCAATTTCTATTTTGAAAGCTAGTATTCCCAAATATCAATGATAGGCCTTCTTAATTTTATTTTCTACTAAACACTTAATGCTTAAACTTTCTGTTTTTATTGAGCCAATAATACTTCCCTTGTTGAATTGGACTGTGCCAAAGAATGATCAGTGGCATTTGGGAGCTTAGTCCTTGTATACTTTGGTTTTATTGGAAAAACATTGTTGTCCTTGTCTTAAGTATCTGTTCTTATCCTTTATGTATCACAGCATCCAGTTGGTTTACAGTAGGGTCTTCATAAACTTTACTGATAAATTGCCTAAAAACTCTTTGAAAAACGAATTTAAAATTTTTTTTTTTAATTTTTTTTTGTAATGTTTATTTTTGAGAGAGACAGAGACAGAGCGTGAGCAGGAGAGGGTCAGAGAGAGAGGGAGACACAGAATCTGAAGTAGGCTCCAGGCTCTGAGCTGTCAGCAGAGCCTGACCCGGCGCTTGAACCCACGAACCCTGAGATCATGACCTGAGCCAAAGTTGGACACTCAACCGACTGAGCCACCCAGGCGCCCCTGAAAAACAAATTTAAAAATTGGCTTGCATTTGTATCAAATGCTGTATGCAGCTCTGTAAATTAGTTACGTTTTTCCCCATGTAACTCTTAAGTTTTTAAAAAAATCCCATTTTATTAGCAATGGGAATAAAATCCCTTTTGGTGGGAGAAGTTGTTTCTTTTGAGATCTTACCCTGGCCTTTTAAGGATAGATTTAGTGTGTTCCTCACTGCTTAATTTTGAAAAATATGGAGACATTAAAATTAGCATTTTCCTTATGTAGTAGTTTCTTACTTAAAGAGAGGTTGATAATAGATGCTACCATCATTCTCACATATTTTGTTCTTAAATCAAATAAGTAAGTTTCCTTGTACTGTGCTTCGTTGTAATTAGGATGCTGAATTAATTAATTATTGCTGTGTAACAAGCTACCCCCAAACTTAGCACCTTAAAACAGCAGACATTTATTATGTCATGGTTTCTGTGGGTCAGGATTCCACTCACAGCTTAACTGGCTTTTTTGCTCAGTCCCCCATAAAGCAGTGGTCCGTGTGTTGGCTGTGGCTTTAGTCCTCCCCATGCCCGAGGGTGGAAATCCACCTCCCTGCTCGCTCACTCTTTTTGGGCATTAGCAGGATTCATTTCCTGGCAGGCTGTTGGGCTGGCTGTTGGCTGGAGGCCACCCTCAGCTCTTGCCATGTGGACCTCTGTAGGGCAGCTTACCATACCACATCTGGCTTCTATCAGGTTCATCAAGAGAGAGGGGGAAAGAAG